ACACATACACATACACATACACATACACATACACATACACATACACATACACACACACACACACACACACAAACACACCAACAGACACGCGTAGCCGATTATATAAGTAGGATCTTCCTCGCCGCGCCCAAATAGCAGCTCGCTATCCTCATCGCTCCTAAATCACTTTTTGCGAACTGACGCACAAACAATATATAAACAGGCACGTATAATTTAGCGCTTCATATATACAGGGTGCACCACAAATGTGGTAACAACTTTACGGAATTCCGCAGTTTCCTTATTTGGAGGGTTGTTCAACTCTGCACCTCCACTTATGTCTATCATAGCCTTAGCTCTCATTCTGCTTTCTTGCTCCTATTTCATCAGTTTTCGGAAAATGGTGAAGTCTCGCAATCCAGCAATCAATCCGTCTGGGCGCAAGTGAGCTTTAGGCCATTTTCCAGGACCGCTCGTAAATTCTACATTTCTTGTATGACAGTCTCGTGTATCTTGATGCGTGGACAGGTCAACGATAAGCCTCAGGACGGTCGTCTCGATTCCTTTACGATCCCTTTTCCAAATTCAATTGCTTGAGAAGCATTACGCCGCGAAACTGCAGAAACACGAGAAAAAATGACTGTCGATTTCAATATATGTCCTACTTCAATGAGAATAGCTTTCTGCGAGCAAACCCAATTGTATCCAGATACGTTTTGGAAGCCTTATGGTGCTCTTGACGAGAGAGAAGAAGCTCAAGAGACAGAACAAATGCCGTGCCCTACTTGGACGCGGCACCCGCTTCAAACAATTTTTCTTGCCGTAAAGATGTTCAACGAGAGAGAACTGTTCAGATCCCAGAGTACACGTATATTTCTCACTGCAAAGGACGAGCATTTTGAGAAGAGCCAGATCATTTCCCGTAACCATTTCCCTCTTACATGACGGGTTGGGCTAGAATCTTCTCCTTTAGAGGGGTAATGCTTATTTTTGTCGAAAAACATAAAAATTGATCAGAACATCCTCATGAGAGAAATTTCTGAGAAGGCTCTGTTTAGAATCGAAGATCAATCCAGGAATACGATTTGGGAATGCTCGTGTAGCTGCGCACGAATGGAAAGAAAGCAAGAATGGTGCTGAGAAGATGTTCGCGCCTTCATATCTCCCTCATCCGGCCTACGATGTTCTCTGCTCGCAATTCAATGGATCGGATCTACTGGATACTGGAAAGGGAAGCCTGAGCTTGAAAACACACCGCTGTTACTGCTTTTAAGAAACCGTTGGAAGAAGCCCTGATTGAGGTTTCTCAAGAAAACCTGCGTACCTCCGTTGATGAGTAGCCGATGCATCTTTGTGCTATGATCAGTACAGGAGACGGTTATATTAGATGACCGTGGATTCATTTTGTTGATGCGATGCATAGTAAATAGTTCACATAAATTCATCACGTATCAATATGACTTGCAGTTTCTGCACAACAATTATTTTGTTACCATATTTATGGTGCACGCTGTAAGGATAGGTTCCATTGAAATTTCTTCTCGCATCTCACCTACGAGATTTTTTGTGGAAGGCAGTATGAATAGAAATTTATTGGCTCTACTTGAAGACAACGGACAACGTCACTCAATATAACAGCGAGAGATCACAGTTATCACAGTGAAAGGCTAAGAATTCGGCAAACGCGCGACAAATTCTTTGGGATGAGCTTGAACGGTTTTGTGAAAAGGATAGAAATCGTTTGCTCAAGAACACGTTCACGGTTCGCATTTTTGATCATTCCTTTTCTTAAGCGAAAATACGTACAATAAGAATGATCGTACTGTAAACGGACTTCAATATATACACTGAGAAGGGCATAAGAAAAATGCAATTTTTTTTTCTAAGAAATTTTAATGCTCCTGAAAAGAAGACTTATCTCACGAGTACATAGATATGTGGTGCAGGAATTGAACGTGATGCAAACTACGTTCAATACCACACTTCTGGATACAAAAACATAGTGATGTTCATGGCAATCAGGGATAGGTAACTACATAAGGAGATCGTCTCAAGGCGTTTGATGATTCGCTCCCAAAACGATCGAAGTTGTTGATTCCTGTGTTGTGTCTGCTTTACCGAAATCACTTCCCTCAGTAATGCGATGATCACATCCACTTTTCCACTGGCACCAGGATGAGCTGTAAATGTGCAGCGATCAACGGCTGTAAAATACAAAGTGCATCACCATGGAGGTGTCGAGCAGGTGAGGGGTTCCAGTAGAAAAGGAAAAAAACGATAAGAGAGAGAAGAATCCACCGGAGCAAGTGATTTCCGGTATCGAAAAAAGTTGATTCTACTTAACAACAGAGAGTTTGAACGAAAGATTTCTATTACGAAAGGGATGAGATTATTGCATCAGCATGAAATAATTTTCGAAACGTCGTCTGAATGAAATTTGCTATGAGAGCTTTCGAGAATTAAACAAGTTCGAGAATGTCTTTCTTTTACCATTTCTTAGTTTTGAAGAATGATAAAGTGTTGAGCTACCTTCGAGTAGAACTTCGCCATGTAGAGGAGCATCGGTGTTTATCTCGGTGAAGTTCACCTCAACAGATATCTTGAGAAGAAATTAATTCAGAGTAGAGAAAAAATACGACAATAGAAAATCACCTCATTCGGGATAAGGTTCTTCATCAGCGCGTGTTCGGGACTGGACTGAACAGAGACCGCCTAAATTGGTTGGTTTGCTGCTGCAACATACATGGCACACGACTGTGGTAGAAACTATGTAGTCGTAGGTGGTTTCAGTCTCAGGTGCACTCTTAGGCAGTTGCAGCTCCTTTTATGTTACTATCTACAATACCCACCCTAATTATTCGAAAAAAGGCGGAAAAGACGCGGATTCGCGTCTTTTTCGCATTTTTTCGAATAATTGGGGTGGGTATTGTATTTCTAGGTGAGTTTACACTTTTTTTCATATATGATGTTATATAGTTCGACTCAGCCCGTCGAGCTCTATACATAGAATGGTGGATTCCAAATTCGGAAAACTCAAATTTTCAANTACAATACCCACCCTAATTATTCGAAAAAAGGCGGAAAAGACGCGGATTCGCGTCTTTTTCGCATTTTTTCGAATAATTGGGGTGGGTATTGTATTTCTAGGTGAGTTTACACTTTTTTTCATATATGATGTTATATAGTTCGACTCAGCCCGTCGAGCTCTATACATAGAATGGTGGGTTCCAAATTCGGAAAACTCAAATTTTCAAGTCTTCGATCCGTCGAAGCTCCTAGGGGTATGTCATTAGCGACGACTCTCGCTATAATTATAACCAGAAGGCATTCTCCTCCATTGAAAGTATTCAGTGAGTTGTAGGGCAGCTGTCATATTTCAAAACCAACCAGAAAGTAGACCTTTGCATTCTTCATGTTTTACTGTTCATTTTAGTGCCATTTTTCCGAAATAGACAAAATTGGTCGTGCACCAATCTTGAACGATAGCGGCTTTTTAATTTGAGAAATAGCAAATATGAGTGTATCCCAAGTGCTAATAAATGACATACCTACACTTCAGAAATAGTGCCTTCTTATAGTTTGCACATTGTATGCATAAGGTCAAGAGTAAAAGCGATTTTATCGTCCGAATTCTGGTTTGCGGCATATTTTCACAGAAACCACACGTTTTCTTGCTTTTTCAAGTTCAGGTTTTCGATGTTCAGAAGGAAGTCATGCCTATCATCGGAAGTATTCATACTGAACTCTTTATGAACAACCACGGATAGGGGGAATAGGGGGGGCGCGCGAATCACGCGTAGCCCCATTAGAGCTCTTCGCGCACCCAGCATCGTTTCAGTACCTTTCTGTTGAGATGGACCAAATAAACTTGCAGTAGTAAACGGCTTCACCATGAATAGAGCAAATCTCATTACTATGGCAAAAAAGCCCCTTCGAGATTGCGAATTCACCTCATAGGTCAACAATTCATTTGTCAAACGTTCAAAATAAGAATAACTTCAAATTTTTTGATCCTAGTAAACGCAATCCTTCTGCAAACGTGCATAGTTAGTCATTTCTTCACTTATTCTACTTATAAGTTCTTATTCCTTCCATTATGATGGTAGGCATGATGTTTTGGCGCTTTTTGCCCGATGACCTCATTATATTGGCGCGTGAATCGCACCACACCCGGGGGAATAGTTACTTGTTCATATCCTGCTTCATAAATAGCTTCCAATCTCAGCCCAAGCACAGGAGACTGAACCACATTTTTTTTCGTTCGAAGTAAACATCTAAAATCATACATCGTTGAAATCCATTTTCAAAAAGCTATTCAGTGATATGAAAATCTCTTAACTAATCACACTTCGGATTGACACCTTCACCACCTAATTTCTATTCTACTCCGTCACTCGGCCACCCAATTAGGCATGTGGCTCGAGTGGCCCAGGCAGCATATTGATTGATTGCCTGTTCCCTTGATGTGCGCCATCAATCGAACATTCGTAAAAATATGCTCTTGTGATTAAATGTGCACAACTCTCACACACAATTGTTTTCAATGAACCTCACTTTGCAGATGACGATATTTCCATTATACTGGGGTTGAGTCATAGTTTCAAGCATCATTCTATGAAGTGATGGTCGTATTTCTAGTTTGCATTAATATCATTTCCACCTTATACATTTCTGTGAGCCGATGCTGCATCGTCTTTCCATAGAAGCTGGTTACAGCACCTTAAGTCGATCGAGTCGAGTCGAGTATTGTCCCTCGACCTTAGCGGCTCCTACAGTAATTACCGAAGGAGTTTCTTCGCACCTCGACAATAGCCTACCCACTAATGGTGCCGCAGTCATAAACTGTTTTACAACCAACACATTCAAATGCAGCCGCTATTATCTCTCACTAATGAGTTCGAAAGTGATACAAATATTCAACGCTGTGAAGTTTTTGTTGCAAACATAAGAATATCCACAAATACTTTAAAAATTCGTGTTATGGGAGGAGTTGCCACCAAAAACTTATACTTCTTGAAAATCATCTTGTTCTGCAAAGTTCATTGAAAACAGTTGCGTGTATGAGTTGTGCACATTTAATCACAGGAGCATATTTCCACGAATGTTCGATTGATGGCGCAGATCAAGGGGACAGGCAATCAATCCAATTGGGTGGCCGAGTGACGGAGTAGAATAGAAATTTGGTAGTGAAGGTGTCAATCTGAGGTGTGATTAGTTAAGTGATTTTCATATCACTGAATAGCTCTTTGGAAATGGATTTCAACGATGTAGGATTTTAGATGTTTACTTTGAATGAAACAAATGTGGTTCGTTCTCCTGTGCTTTGGGCTGAGATCGGAAGTTATTTGTGAAGCCTGAGGATACAAACAAGTAACTATTCCCCATATCCGTGATTGTTCACAAAGAGTTCGCATGATTACTTTCGATGATAGGCATAACTTCCTTCTGAACATCAAAAACCTGAACTTGAAAAAGCAAGAAAACGTGTAGATTCTGTGAAAATATGCCGCAAACCAGAATTCGGACGATAAAATCGCTTTTACTCTTGACTTATGCGTACAATGTGCAAACTATAGGAAAGCACTATTTCTGAAGTGTAGGTACGTCATTTACTAGCACTGGGGATTAACTCATATTTGCTATTTGTCAAGTTAAAAAGCCGCTATCGTTCAAGTTTGGTGCACAACTGAATTCGTCTATTTCGTAAAAAATGGTACCAAAATGATCAGTAAAATATGAAGAATGCAAGGGTCTACTTTCTGCTTAGTTTCGAAATATGACAGCTACCCTACAACTCACTGAATACTTTCAATGGAGGAGAATGCCTTCTGGTTATAATTATAGCGAGCGTCGTCGCTAATGACATACCCCTAGGAGCTTCGACTGATCGAAGACTAAAAAATTTAGGTTTTCCGAATTTTGAACCCACTATTCTATAGAGCTCGACGAGCTGAGTCGAACTATATAACATCACATATGAAAAAAAGTGTAAACTCACCTAGAAATACAATACCCACCCCAATTATTCGAAAAAATGCGAAAAAGACGCGAATCCGCGTCTTTTCCGCCTTTTTTCGAATAATTAGGGTGGGTATTGTATTACATACATATATGGAATAAAGATATTAGTGGCTCGTTAACATTAAAGGCACAGTTCACGATCTCATCAAATTCTAGTTTGAGAAAAATGGTCTGGAAATTTTTAGAATTCTCACCTGTATGTTGTTGTTTCGAACGACATCATTCTTGCTGTATCGGAACGCCTTTGGTACGTAACAACAGAAGAGTTTTTTTGCTGCCAACCATTGCAAACACCACGGAACCGCCTGAAATATTTCCACAGAGTCTTCTGCCTTGAACTAACCGACTCCTTTAGTACCAATAGGCGTTCAAAACATGACTATCAACTTGGTCTCGTTTGTCGTTCAAAGAGCCCTACAGGTTTTCATGAGCAAGATGAGCCACCATTCGACTCAGACGGGTAAAATTGAGAAACATAATGAAGTACACGTGCAGTGGCTGCGGTAGGGTACTGCAAGAATATTATGGCAGATATCACTCTTTTGATTGCGATCTCAATATGCCCACAGGTACATAGAAAAAGGTATTTCCTATTTCCGCTTTGATTCCGATGAATCAAAACCTAGAGGAAATGGGAATCCGAGAATGGCGTCATATATTGAATAGCTATCGATTATAGCTTGGTATAATTTGGTTATAGTGCTTTATTGGCTTACGTTTCGAAGATGTCGCCTTCCTCAGAGCCTGAAAAAATCAAAACAATTTGTGCATATCCGATCAAACGCCCTGCAGCCTTACTGAAGATCGAGACCCCTCCCCCAGGAAGCGCACGTAATCTAAAAAAGGGAGTCACTTACCGCAACTTCGTGAATTCCTGAAATCACCCAGGAACCGGGATGGGACCAGAGTCAGCTGGACTAGGTCTTCATCAAAATACTGTGGGAAGGCCAACCTTATATAAGGCCCCAGTTCAGGCCCCATTAAAGCCCGTACGTTGAAGCTATCAAATATTTTCAACATTTATATTTTCTTAAAAATACAAGGCTAAGTAGCAGGTGCACTGGTTCTCCGGCTACGCTGAAAAACCCCGAAGGACGACAAGATGGATGACACTACTAATCGACATGTACCTTATCCGTTAGACTTTTGATGAAACCTGCGACCAAGATGATAACAAACTCTTGTTCGAGTTACGTTTCGACTTTTTCGCCTTCTTTAGAGCCTGAAAACTCAAACTAACTCAACTAATTGCTAACCATTTCTTAAACAACAACTAACACTTCGGAAATCAGTCCCTAGACCTCAGATTATCGTGCTTATAAAGAAACACTGGGAACGTTTTTCGAAGTTCCAATTGTTGTAAGAGGGATGGATAGTAATTATCTTTGAATTTTCAGACTCGTAAAAGCCGAAACGTATGCAGGTCGGATACGAACTTGCTATCGTCTTGGTCATAGGTTTCATTAAAAGTCTCACGAGATATATTCGAAGCCATGCCAAGATTTATTTTGAGTCAGCTTGGTTATTTATGTCTTATCCATTTAGGCGTTTCAAATTTGCGCAGACGTATGTGTGATTGATACTACTTTCCAACTTCAAGACAATTTGCCGCGGTACTTATTTCCCTATTGGAACACTACAACTGAACGAAGTTTTGTTCGTAGATACTCTCACAGTACATTTCCATTTTACTTTATTATCCTACTTTATATAACGAGCTAATTGTGTCTGCTGGTTTGTCTGTCTGGAGGTGCGTGTATGTTCGAACGGAATTTCATAACTCCTGTTCCAGTGGATTTAGAGGCACAGTTCACGATAAAAATGATTCCTGAGTTTCCCCCTAGGAATACCCAATGGCCCCAAGGGTAACAGGAAGGACGCTGTCGAGTCTCAAAACTTGACAGTTAGGGCATAGTGGGAGCCCCGTTACCGGTTCGCCCAAACTTGCCGCCCCTCGATCGATGTCACCTCAGACGAGTGTGAGGCGATACGATTGCAGTAGTCGTTCTAGAACCCACACACAATCGGCTGATCGCCGGGTAATGAGGCGATGTTTCTCTCCCATTCATTTGTTTTCTGTTATTCTTTGTGCTGCTGCGATCCTTTATTTAGTTTTCTACCCCAGGGAGCTTAAAAAGATGGGCTATTTTTGAAGTCACTAGGACTTTTTTGTCAACTTATGCTCATGAGTGAATGAGTTTTTGCCTACCGAAGTTATCCATTCGCACCAGGACCCACACGTACGCAATGAGACACATTGTATAGCTCGTCCGAACGCCCCGCTCTCCCTCAAATTTATGGCCTCATTCTCGTCCAGCCCCCTTTTTAACGACTTTTTGAAGACTTTTTTTTACTTTAGAAGTACCGATTCATGCAGTTTCTTCGCCTTCATTGTACTATTTTCTATCTCATCTTCAATTTTTTCTATTGTATCAAATTTGGTGAATTTGGTACACGAAAAGGAGCCCGACTAGCATGATTCATATTGCTGTAGTGATGCGACGTTTCGAAGATAGTAGGAACAAAAAGAATTTCAAAGAAGTCGCTTTTCCTCAGCTGATCTCCATGGATACCGTCTTTCAAGGGCAGTCCAAATGCTCCAGTGGTGGCAAAAATTGTCACCATTAATAGTGAAGAATTGAAAGCACTAAGGTGTCATGATAGTGGTGTATTCTCATATAAATCAGCCTGTAGGGGGAGTCAAGTCCTGCAACATTTCTTTGATATTGTCCTCCTGATACCTGTACTTCTACCATGAACCCTTTAAGTTAACGGTAACATGGGCCATAAATTTGGTTCTAGCAAAAATTTTTGCACAAACTCCGGTCAAACACCTACGCAGTACACACATACATACACGGCATACACAACGCTGGGTATGCTGGGACCTTGGTCCAGCCCTTTTTTTCCCTTTTCTATTCTATTTACTGTCAGTAATTGACTTGAGTTCGCGTACTGATTTAGCTGGCGCGTCTATGTGGACGTGTAAGCAAATAAATAAATAAATAAATAAATATACACATAAACACGCACATTCACATACACACAACACACAGACATTAGCGCGTCATAAAAAGCCGCGCGCCTTAATCATGGTAATAACTTTACGAAAGCCC